GGGAACAGGGGGTGTATTATTTTATATGTGGGGGGCAGGGAGCTGGGGGAGTGTATTATTTTATATGTGGGGCAGGGAGCTTTATGGTAATATTGATAAAGTTGTTGTTAATATTTATTTTTGTAACTTTATTCTGCATAAAACATTTAAAAGTGTAATTTATAAGATTATTTAAGAGGGTGTGTTTAGAGGGCAGACTTAAGGCTGGGGCTAGGTGGGCAACTGGTGGCGAGTAACTCTTAAGGCTTGGCTAGTAGCTCAGGACTTGAAATTCTGACCCGTCATAAGCAATTACATAATTTGTGAATAAATGCCTGTTTCCTCGTTAGTCCTGGTCTGTGCATATGCGCTGATGTCGGCAAAGACAGAAGATCGGGCCCCGACCTCCTCCATCGCCGCCAGACCCTGGCCTCCTCCACCAGCGCCACTGCCGCCAGCAGGCCTCCTTCTCCTCCGACTCTAGGCTCTGCCTCCTCCACCTCAGTTGCTGGCTGTCACTGACTCTGCAGGGGCTGCGAGAAGGAACGAGCTGTTGCACAGATTACTGACCAGTCAGTGATCTGGAGAGCAGTGAGCTCCTCCTTACAGCTGCTAGTGACGGTCCTGGGGCCTGCGATGCCATAACGACCCAGGCAGCCTGCACGGCATCAGGGGGTCCCCTTTGTTCTTGGTCCTGGGCCACATGGGGGCCGCTATGGTAATAGTTCCACCACTGTGGTTAAGAATACATCACTGTCCCTGGCCGCACAATCAATGTGTCCAGGGACAGAGACCTATTCCTAACAGCATGTAACCATATCACATACGAATACAAGTGGAGTGCTGATGTACTGCCTCTTTCAAATATGGTTGCTGTCCCCGATCATTAAAGTAGTATTAAGGTCTGGACATTTTTTACCTTAATGCATTTTCTGTATTAGAGTACAAAACGGCCCAGCAGTCTTCCCCAGTCCCCACCACACTTACCTGTCAGCTGCGCTCGTTTTTGCAGCCGGTCCCGAAGGGATCCTCCGTTCCCCAAACTTCCCAGTTGGGGGGGGGATACTAGTGTGAGAGAAGCCATAGGCTTCTTCGGCCATTAAAGAGGGAAGGGGCGTGGCCTGTCACAGGGCTGTGTGTGTCTATGGATGCACGCAGCCACTGTGGAAACGAGCGAGCATGGGTGCCTCCATTAGAACGATGGCACCCGTGCAGGAGGCGGGGGGAAGATCGCTGCGGGTACCCACTAGAAAACGAGGAACGAAAAAGGTTTTTTTAAAAAAAAGCAACAGCCTCCAGCAAAAGAGGGTCTCCTTAAAGGAGAAATGTAAAAAAAAAAAAAAAAGGCTTTAATATCACTTTAAATTTAAACGGTGACAGCGTCTTCCTAACTTCCTGTAGCAGGAATCCCAAAAAGCACATTCACACTATGGTGCTTAGTAAACCTAATTGTGTTGCTAATTTGTATGATAAATGTCCCCCAATGTATCCAGTTACTTTTTGTACAGGTCAGTACATCTAACCAAATAGAAGAACATAAAAAGACAGAGGGACAATCCCCCCAAATGAGGTGTGCTTCAGAAAAATATGAAGGTAAATGGCCATGCAAGTCAGATACAGATGGCAGCTGCACTGTACAGGAAGAAAAGAGAAAGCACGAAACAGAAACAATCCGTACGTGTGAAAAGAGGAAGGTCAAATTCATGAGACCGCTGATCGGAAGCCAGCGCCCGGCATCATGCTGACACGAGCCCCCGGCTGCACACGCGCAGCTAGGCCCCAGTATTATTGTTCCCAATAAGGTCCGCCTCTGGAGAGTCCGCCGCTGATTGGCTGGGCGGAGCGGCACCTGGTGCTGCAGCAGCTGTTCCTGTTCATTCAGAGTAGAAGAGTGCTCAGTCAGAGGCAGTGAGAGCAGCGTGTGAGCCGGTGAGTAGATGGGAGTGACACCCCGTATATTACCGGACCATAAACTACAAATGCCACCTAGTGTGTGTGCAAACTCTAGATTCGCTTCATTCTTCATGTTTTGTCTTTACTTTGTGGAAAACGTGACATGAGTGAATGAAAAAAGTAAATATTTCTCATCCAGTGTTGTGGGTGTTTTGTTAACACACGTGTTTATAAATATAGCTAATGTTTATTAATTTCAGTGTCGGTTATTGACAATACAGATAAGAGAATATAAATATTGCCTTGTATGCTACATGAGTGCCATGGATAAGTATATGAATGGGCATTCACTAAATATTCGCTGCAGGTGAAACTTCCAGGTGCATCTGTTTTAAATGACAGTAATTACTTGCCACCTGTGAATGCTTAATGACGGTCCCATTCACTGCTTTTTACATATGTCCCATATTGTACTCCTATGTAGTGATGGAATAGAGGCACATGGGTGGTGGAGTCTGTACAAATTACAGCATATTATTTCTTCCTGGGTGGGTGCTGTATACATCCTCCCATTAGAAGTCATTGGTAGTATGCGGGTATATGCCCATACTTGCATTCGGCCACATGTATGTATGGATGGACGTGAATCCAGGGATTATATACCCACATCCGGCCGTTGACTTCTATGGGGGGATGTATGCCAGCACCTGTAGCTGGCTGCCTGCCTGCCGGGGGGTGGTTTAGAATATGCCAGACTTGACATTGTATGGCCCATGTGCATGAGCACAAACTAGGTTACAACTATGATACATATGTTTAAAGTGACACTAAACTCTTAAAAATGCATTCAGGTCCCTTAACAAAAATGTATCTTATTTGTGTATCATTCAGCTATAGATCTTCAAATCGTCTCTGAATTGGTGCTGACACTGTCCTTCCTTCTGGAGGGTGGCTATTTTTGTTCCCCGTGGTACCCGTGTGTGTTGATAAAGTAGCCACCGCTCCAAGCTCACTCCTGTGATGGACTACAATCTCATGTTTAGTTTACTAATTTGTATTGAGATTTGTATTGAGGCTACTTTACAACAAACACGGGGAACAAAACAGCCGAGTGGTACATACATAAGATACGTTGTTGTTGGTTAAGGTACTTGAATGCATTTTTAAGATTTAACTCGAGTTTAGTGTCACTTTAATGAAGCGGACAATCAAGTTTTATTACCAACAAAATGTTTCAGCTTTGTATTAAGGCTGGCCGAAACCAAAACTATAATTATGCAAGTAATAACCTGCTCACAAAGGTTGAACTCGATGGGCCTGCGTCTTTATTCAACTTTAAATGCGATGTTGCATACATTAAGACAGTGATTTAGAACCCTAATAATCACTTATGTGGCGTGTTCGCATTTGAAGAACTGGTAGAGCTTGTTTAGCACTCATTATTTCTAATAAGGTTATTGAAGTGTTAGCATATAATAACTACAGCTAAGAAAAATCCAGGTCATTTAAAGAAGAACTCTGGGGAAAAGTTTTATTAACCCTTGCAGTGGGGCAAGTTTTCCCGGAGATCTTTAAATATCTATATGTGCGCACCGCATACTGTGATGTTTTGTATTGTCGATTTTGTCTTTTGTGATACAATAATAAAAACATTTATATGGAAAAATATCCATGTGTGGCATGGCGGCCCAAACATTTGATGAAATGTTTAACCTGTGGATGGCTATGATTTTATAGATTATAAATGTATGTTGCATGCACAGAGACATTGCATGTTTTTCTGCCTCCAGCATCTGTGTGAACATAGCCATACACAGTATTAAACCTGTATAGAGAAAGCTATGTAGGGTGTCTGCTCTGGCCTATATATGATGCTAATTTCTTGGATGTTTCTGCCTAGCTGACTCCATGGGGGGAATTTATCAAAACTGGAGCAGGCAAAATCTGGAGCAGATTTGCACTGCAGCCAATTAGCATCTCTGTCTCTTTTTCAGGTCTTGCCTGAGCAAACTGAAGAGAGATACTGATTGGTTGCCATGGGCAACTGCCCCAGATTCTGTTTGCTCCAGTTTTGATAAATTCCCCCCATGCGTCTTTGGTCACTCAAGCGTGTCTCTTCCGCGGCACAGATGGGATGTTCCTCAGGTCTATACGCTTGTATAGGATGTGATGACATAAGGATTCTTAGACTGCTGCAGAGGAGGGGAAGAAAGGGTCTAGGGACTGGTCTAAGAACAAGCTGGCTCGATTGGGTGACTGTACTTTTTTTTGAAGCACCTAAACACAAACGAGCAGTTAACCCTTGCAGTGCAGGGGTAGCCCACTACAAGGGCTGGGAACAGTTTTGCTTAGAGTCCCGGTTTAAAATTTTGTACAATATAATTTATTTATTTTTTGTAACCCTCTGCTGTTCAGCCTTCCAATGCTTTTATTTATCTCTCTAACAAGGGCGTGGCCACGTAAATAATTGAAAATGCAGTCACAAGTGCTTAATTTTTTCTGCTTCTCTAGCTGGTTTAAAAAAAAAAAGACAATCTGCATCTAAAGCCCACTAGTAAAGTCCCTTTTGCTTGAATTGCTAGCTTTCAAAGGGCAGGTTTAGCCTAATGGAGGCTTGCTGATGAAGAGCAGATCTAACAAACGGTGTGAACATTGTTGTGTGCTTTTTGATGCCCCTTTTTAATGTTTACATTTAGGTTGGAAAGTGAAAAATGTCTTTATGACGGGTTTTGTAGCAATTCTGGTCAAATTACACCATCATTTGGAGGTACACTGCTCTAATGCCAAAACATTCAGCTTGTGCACATGTTTACTGGCAAACCCAAAATGGTGTGTGTGGTATGTACATGTGTATATAAATATATATAATATATCCTTGCAGTGGGCCTCCCCCATTCTGCTGTTTTTTGTCTATGTTAAAAAAACCTGTAAATCATCACGTCCTATACAATGTATAGATGTGAGGACGCTGAGGAACATTCCAGAGCCGCAGTAGATGAAGAGAGAGAGAGAGGCTTCAATGATCGGAGAAGCAGGCAACCAGCTCGGCTTTTTTTTGTTTTTTGTACCTAGACAAAAACAAGCACTTAACACAAAGTGTGGGAATAGCCCCACTGCAAGGGTTAAAAACACTTTTGCCTGCAGTTTTACTTTATAGCCCTGCTTTGTGGAGTGCTTGCCTTAGAGTTTTTCTACAGATGACCTATGATCACTCTACAATAATCTCTGAATGACTATAATGTGTCAGTAGAAGTGACTAAGTTTTCTAAGTTCAATAAAGTTTTCCTGTGGGATAGTATTCTGGAGTGCAGCCTTCATTTGTTTACATGCGGAATATGGTTATCTATTGATTTGATTGTTTTATGTAGGCCTGTGCCAGACGTAGGTGTTTGTGCAAATTCCTTTGGGTTCACCGTCTTAAAGTGAAGCGTCACTTTTCAAAATATGAATCACAAAAGTATAAAATATACCATGTATCATTGCTTCACAAGTCATTTTGTAATTTGTTATTAAAAATTACTTTTCCATTTCAAACTGCATAAGTAAAATTCTTAATTTGTTTTAAATTGGACTTTTTAGGTACTCATTCAAAGGCAATGTATACCATTTTATCAACACTTACTCACTCACACCCTAACCAAAACTTCACTGTCCATATGGGACACAATCCATAGTAAACAACACTGGGATTACAATTCTCCTCTGATGCCCTTGTTGGGCCATAACTATTTCTCTCCGGGAGTTAAGGATGGTGGTTACCGCTCCTGGATCCAGCAAGGGACAGAATTACTGCTCCACCAGGTGTTGCAGAGTGGGCATATCAAACCACTGGCCGCTCTAAATCCTGCTATAAACCCATCCATTATGGATAAGTGGAGATACAGACAGCTGTCCCATTTTGTGCAGACTCTCCCGGGGCCACTGAGATCCAGATTGGAACTGAATCCCATAGAACAGCTCTTCCCAGCCGACTCCACCCCTGTCAAGTGTATCTCCTCCATATATGCAGCGCTATCCCATATGGAAGCAGCTCCCTACCCATCCCACCTGACACAATGGGAAAGGGAACTAGCCAGCCCTCTAAATGAACAAAGTAGATCACGCATATTGATCACATCCTTGGGGCTCTCTAGATCCACACGCATTCAGGAGCTTAGTTACAAATTAGTGAGCAGATGGTATTACACACCACATAGGCTGCACCAAATAGATAGCTCGGCCTCCCCACTGTGTTGGAGGGGCTGCGGCGAAGTAGCCACACATGCCCATATCTGGTGGCAGTGCCCTAGCATTGCATCTTATTGGAGAGAGGTGACATCGGAGATACTTACGATTCAGGGATGCCCAGTGTACTTTGACCCTTGGATAGTGCTGTTCCACGGGTGGAAGGGCCACATAGGACGATATGCCCGATCTGTTACACCGCACCTGCTTAACGCTGCTAAGTCCCTAATACCAGCTAAGTGGAAAGATCCATCTCCTCCCTCCGTGTGGGAATGGCTAACTGCAGTAGACAAGATATATCACATGGAGGAACTCACCCTAACTAGAATGGATCAACAAGAGCGCCTCTCCAAAACCTGAGCTTGCTGGTTAGCATACAAAACGACTCCCTCTTACCTATCCAGGGTACCTCCAGCTGACCCTTGAGCACTAAATTATGATAAATTATGACAACTGATCTCATAACATACTAAGAGGAATGCTTGCACCGGGGTTTCATGAGTTTTGCATCATAATTCTAATTGCTTATACACATTGGATTGAGTTTTCAATATCAGATTGGTCATGATCCTACACCCCCTCCCATTCCTCCCCACCCCCTCAGTCCTCTTCAGTCATTCCCTTGTCCCACCCTTCGTTCTTCCCTTCCTTTCTAACCCTCCCCACACCCTCACCTTCTGCGGCTCTCTCATACCTCATGAATCAGGAAAGGACCTGAGGATATCAATAAACTTTTCTGACGTAGCTTAGATATCCACCACTGTCCGTGTTTTACCCTGTACAGTTGTATAACCTGAGCCGCTTTTGTGTTT